GGAAATGCTGAAACAAGGTGGATGCAGTCACAGATACTCCAGTCGCTGCTGATGGAAGACTTCAAAATACACCATAAAAACTGTAAAAAAATTTCACAATTGGGCACATTGGAACTCAGCACTTGTACAGGATGGGACATCTTTAGCAGTTAGTAGATTTCAGGTGATACAAAGACAGGAAAGGACTCTCATGCTTCACGTTCATAGTCTTGATACTCTTCCTAATGAGGAGAGCAGAAATCAGTGCTACTAGTATTTTAGATAAATACATCCTACTCTCACTATTTATTCTAGTCCTGGTGGATTCAATGTCAAAATATTACGGATTCTCATGTGATTAGGATCTTAACATTTATGAGTCTTTTGTCACATTTTCCAGATCCTATACATTACAAGACAGGGCGCTTAGAGGAGAATTAGACTTTTACAGTGATGAACACATAATTCGGCTGATGTTGCCAGAAACTCATGAGGCCACCCACAACAATTCACTTGAAGAGGGAGGAAGGCTGCCTCCAGCCTGACCAACATACCAGTTGCTGCAGATCGTTGTACAAGTCACTAAATCATTTATAGGAGTGTTAAACTATGGACACGTCAGCAGCATCCGTAACTTCAGTGATACTCAAGATGTTAGGCTCAAGTGTGCCTTTAAGTCTTTTACTGGATCATGGCCTAAATTTTTATACCTCTCATTTTCGGTCTAATTATCTGTACTACCATAAAACTGCTACTCCAACTACCAATGCATCATGCCACACATAGTAGTAATATTTCAGACAACTGGCTCATTAAAACAAAATAATTTACTCCCATAATTACCTTAACTTAAGAGTATAATAATGCATTATTGTGTTTTACAAAGCATGATGCATTGGTAAGTGGCCAAGCTATTTAAACAATCTATGAAGACGCAGTTTGTCCTGCATTCCACGTTAAACATACAAAAACCCATAAAAATTTACTGTGGATTACTCAGAAATCCAGGCACAAGTGCTTTGAAACACACACAATATTTTACCATGAAACTTCCTTACTATCAAAAAAGCAATTAATTTTCTGATTCTCAGCACTATACCTCTGGCAGACCTTGGCCAAAGACACTGAGTTTTGGCTGTGCCCTTGCAGCTCACAGCATCAGCCTGTGCCAGACTCATGTAACTCAAGCGCACAACCTCCTCTAGTGCACAACCTTCTCTTACATGCATTGAGCAAATACCGCAATAGATTTACCTCTGGAGGCATTTCATAAGCCTCATTCTCAGGATCCACAGGAACATCTGTATTATTCACCATTCCCTCCTGCAGGAAACCTTCTTCATTCTACATTTAAGAAAAGTGACTGTAACTGCTTGCCTCGTCATTTACGCCAATGCGGGTCTTTCCTCCCCATCGGTGGTTGACTGTTTGGCCTGTCCTTTGGGTTTTGGATGTTGCCAGGGGTTGTGAAAAGCTAGACGATATGACCTCCAGAAAGATCTTCTCCATGTTCCCTTGGAATGACTACTAGCATCTTTCTGAATAGCTGAAGCGCTGAGATCCCATTTCTTTCTTGCCATGGACAGGCCAAAAAGTCAATCTGAACATAAGAACAGTACCACCACCAACTTGCTGAGTTTCTTTGGAAAATATTTTAATCCAACAGAAAATGCTCTGGTCAAGTTATGAGCAAACAAAACCAATTTTTTTTTGCACCTTAAGAAACTGATCTGTGGAACAAAGTCTCACACAAACTGTTTCAATATGACAATAAGTTATGATATTAATTCCTGTTTAACTACCTGGGAGAATACAGTCACAGGTGTGCAAAAGTACTTGTAAAAGCAGGCCAAAATTGGGTAGCATCAAGACACACAAATGAAACAATAAATCAATTATATATTTTTTAACATATGACACTCCATCCTTGCACAAATAATTGGTTATTTTAAAGTTTTAGCCCAGTCACAATACATTTCAAAGTGGCCACAAAAGGCAAAATGACTATAACTTAGATTGTTGCGTGCTGGTTTTTTCCTTCAGTTTAAGAACCTAATTGTAGTGGGAAATGCTTTCTTCCTTCAGTGAGTCATACCTCTACCACTATGCACTATTAGTATATGATACATGGCATTACCTGTTACTCAGCTTCTTGCATTTTTTCTTATAGAAGTACTTCTATTTTATACAGCAATTTTCATAAGAGCCTCTTGGAATTAATGGGATTGCAATCATGTAATGAATAACTTACTAAGATTATTAAAGTAAGATTATTATTGTCCTAGAACTGCAGTGACTATTTACCATCTGAAACAAATACAAAGGAAAAAGCCCTCCACATTTCAGCTGGGCCGATCCCCACTGTGGTTATTACTACAGGTGCTCACAAAGAAGAAACATGCATTTTGCCAGAGTGAAGACTGCTGATATGAAAACAGGCAGAGTACCTCAGTGGAACTATTGTGACTATGATAATTTATACCAGGTGTCAATCTAGACAGAAATACACTAAAACCAATTACAGACACTCAGAAAGAAATGAACTTAAAAAAACCCACTCTGCATACTAGTAGTGTAGACAGAAATACAAAATTAAGGAAGTCACAAACCAGACTAATGAGGTAATTCTTCAAGAAGACAGACGCCTATAGCAAGAGGAATGAATGTGAAGACTAAGTATCTGTGGTTACATGTCCATCTTTGTGTCTATAAATACTTTCTGTTTACAGTAATTTGTGAACTGTTGTAAATTCCATGAAAAACAAATTTCAGTCCAACATAGACTGTGTATATTTTTTCTTTCCTTCCTTTAAAATCCCCCAGTTAGTATTACTTGTAAAGATGAGACTCAGTTCACACTACAACTGGAGCATTTCTGTGAGGTACCAACTTTCCTGAAACTCAGATTCATGTTTATATTAACCACGCTGGTAAAGTACCTAATTAGAGCTGCTGGTATGTTGCTATTTCCTGATAAATGGGGATTATGAGGAGAACCTGCTCATCACCTAGGTCAGACCAGTAGGTCATATGAGTTCTACAGTGATGGACATGTGTATTTATTACAGGTGACTTAAAATAAGAGGTTGCTTAGGGGTTGAGTCAATGTGACATCAGTAACGCATGTAAATGCATCCAGAACACACAGTTCTTTCAGCTTCATCCTTTTCAGCTTCCCAGATCTACG